GGTTGTGAATACACTGAATTTTTTTCTCGGTTTCTCTAGTTTTAGTTTCTGAATAGGCTTTAATGCCTGTTGCATCTTATAATCTGAAGAGTAAATTAGTGACATTTTTCCAAAATTTTATTATCCAACTTTTCTTAATGTGGTTTGAGTTTGCAATTTGAACGAGAATTTTTGTTTGCTTCCTACCTACTTATAGACATTTATTGTGCTTCTACATCAATGAAATTTTGCACAGCTAATCTATTTTCTCAGGGTCTTGAAGATAAAGCTTGGAGGACAAAACAAAGTAGTGTACAACTTCTTGGTGCTATGGCTTACTGTGCTCCTCAACAGTTGTCTCAGTGTCTCCCTAAGATTGTTCCCAAATTGACTGAGGTATGACATAAAGGAAACACTACATTTTGAGTTCTAAATTCCTTTTAAGCTATAGATTGTGTTCATCAACCCATCTTGCTGTTTGAAGGTTTTGACTGATACTCATCCTAAAGTCCAGTCAGCTGGGCAAATGGCCCTTCAACAGGTTTGTTGAGTTATGAGCTATATTATATCCACTTGATTCCTGTTGCTGTGATTTTTGTTATTAATTTTCATGTTTTCTATTTGTTCAGGTTGGGAGTGTCATAAAGAATCCAGAAATATCTGCTCTTGTCCCTACTCTACTTAAGGGGCTCAGTGATCCAAATGAGCATACAAAATATTCCCTTGATATTCTTCTCCAAGTAAGATTTATGAAATTTACCTTGTTCAATTTTTTCAGTTTTATGCTTAGTTACCTAAATTTTATTGTTTGGTTGCAGACAACCTTTGTTAATTCAATTGATGCGCCTTCACTTGCATTATTAGTACCAATAGTACATCGAGGGTTGAGGGAACGTAGTGCTGACACCAAAAAGAGGGCAGCCCAAATAGTTGGAAACATGTGTTCCTTGGTTACAGAACCGAAGGATATGATTCCATATATAGGATTGCTACTTCCTGAAGTAAAAAAGGTACTTTTTGCATATTGTTGCTCTTACTTTTGTTACTTTGGTCTTGGTTTCTTATCATTTTGTGCTTATATTACAAGAGCAGGTGCTTGTGGATCCTATACCTGAAGTTCGGTCAGTTGCTGCTAGAGCCATTGGATCCCTTATAGGAGGAATGGGTGAAGAAAATTTCCCTGATCTTGTCCCGTGGTTGTTTGATACATTAAAGTCTGATAATAGTAATGTTGAACGCTCTGGAGCAGCACAAGGGCTGAGCGAGGTCAAATTTTTTCTTTTAATACATTTTACGTTTTAAGGCCTTTGGAATTTCATTAAGATTCACGTTTTTTCTAATCTAGTATGGCAGAGTTGAAAAACATGAACTTTGTTNGTTTTATTTAAATTGGAGTGTTTAACAACCGTGTAAGTTGTGAAATTATTTTATTTATTTATATTGTTTTATGCATGGGAGTAAGTGAGGTATGATTGGAAAAATAGATTTGATTTAGTATTTATTAATATTTGAGAAGAAAGAAATATTATAATATAATGTTTTGAAATATATAGAGGTAAAAGTGAGGAAGAGTAATTAAGGGGAAAGGGAAGTAATAAAGTTAAAAGAAATAGTTAGTTAGAGTTGGTTAATTAGTATGAGGGGTGAAAGTGTGAATAGAGGAAAGAAGAGGGGGGAGATGGAAAAAAGAAGAAAGAGAGGAGAGAGAAAAAGAAGTTGAGGAACATGAAAAGCAGAGCTACCTACCAAATCCAGCACTAACTTAATTGTAACCACTCGTCTTTCTCACCAACTCGGTCAAATACTCTCTTTCTCTTTCTTTTTCTCTTTCTCTTACATTACATTACTTCTCAGAAAAAGAAGGTACCCGAGTCAATTGCACCTCCTCTTGTTCTCCACCACCTCCCATTTATATTCCTTCCACCCGCTTTTCTCACCAATTACTTTCCAGCTTCCATTCCCCACACACCACAACACAACACATCACAACACAAAACATCTTATTCTCTCTCTTTCTCTCTCACCAACCAACCACAACCATGGGTAGATCTCCTTGTTGTGAGAAGGAACACACAAACAAAGGAGCTTGGACCAAAGAGGAAGACGAACGCCTCATCAACTACATCAAACTCCATGGCGAAGGTTGTTGGAGATCCCTCCCCAAAGCTGCCGGTAAACTTTTCAAATCAAATTCAATACCAATTCTTTTCTTTCTTTCTTTTACACTAACCCCATTTCTCCTTTCTCCTTTCTCCTTTCTCCTTTCTCCTAACAGGCTTGCTCAGATGTGGCAAGAGTTGCAGACTCAGATGGATTAATTACCTCAGACCTGATCTTAAGAGAGGCAACTGCACCGAAGCGAAGACGAACTCATCATTACTCTCCATAGCTTACTTGGAAACAAGTATTATTAACACCATCTCCTTTTTTCCTTCTTCTTCTTTCCAATCTCTCCCACACTGTCACATCATTTCAATTTTCCCATATAATTTCTCATTTTTCTTTTTCTTTTTTTCTCTCAGATGGTCTCTGATTGCCGCCAGGTTACCGGGCAGAACCGATAACGAAATCAAAAACTATTGGAACACTCACATCAAGCGCAAACTCTACAGCCGCGGAATCGACCCGCAAACCCATCGACCGATCAACGCCGGCCTTCAACCCCTCGCCAACCGCCAAGAGGGGTGAGAAGAAATAACAGAAAGAAAAGAGAAGAAGAAGAAGAGGGAGAAGAAGAGTAAATAAATAAGAAAACAACAGAAAAGACAAAAAGCAGCGAAAAAGAAAAAGCAGAAGAAGAGAGAAAAGAGAAAATAGAGCGAAGACAAGAGAGAAGATCTAGAAAAGAAGAAGAAGAAAGATATAGAAGAAGAACGAAAGAGAAGAAAGAAACAACAGGAGAACAAAGAAAAAAGACCGAAAAAAAGTAGAGAAAGAAAGAGAAAAAAGAAAGAAAACGAAGAGAGAAGAAAAAAGATGAAAGAACAACAAGAGGGACAGAGAGAAGAGTCATTAAATTGTTCTTCTAAGCAAACAAAAGAAAGAGATAAAGAAGAAAGAAAAGAAGCCAGGAAACAGAAAAAGAGAAAGAACGCAAATAAAGAGGACGAACACGAACACGCAAGCTAAGCTACACGCCCAGAGACGCAAAAAGACCACACAACGAAGCCCCGGAACAACGACGACCCCACCGCGCGCTTCCGCTGTCCCTGTGGCACGTCATCGGCCAACAAAAAAAACACAGCGACAGCATTAAAACAGCTCCAAACACCTCGCCCTATGATGTTGTTATTAATAACAACATCAACGGTAACAACAGCAACGGTTTTCATTGGTGAGCCATATGGCTATGCCAACGCCCCATAACGAAGGTGGAAACCGACGAAGATTCTAACGGCAGCAGCGGCGTTACCGTGGAAGAATCCCTCCCTCACCATCAAAATCAACTTGGACCTTTCCATTGGCCTTCTCTTCGGCAAGTGTCTTCGTCGGTTGTGAATGAACCCAGAAAAGTTGAAAAGCGCAAAGAGCATGATCAAAAAACCGCATGTGGTTGACAATGGTATGGGAACATTCTGGCCAGGTTGTTTGTCTTTGTTACAGTCTAGGGCTTCAAAGCGACCAAGCTTGTTATTGCAAAGGCATGGGTGCTACTGCTACTGCTACAACGGTTACTACAACTGCCACAGACAGTAATCTATATAGATTTTACAGACCCATGAATATTTAGACCGTGAATGTCATGTTATTTGGTGTGACTTCTCTCTGTTAACAACATGGAAATAGTAGTTGTAGAATCCCAAATTTTGAGAAAATCCTAGATAATTTTTTGTCTCTAGCTTTTCATTTTGGTTTTCATCTTTTATATATTCAATTGAATTCAAACTGAGAGGATGTGGAATCTTTGCTGTGGTCGGATGATTTTTGGTTTTGAAAACAATTTTTTGGGGGGGGGGCATGCTAAATTGAAGCATCTTCTTAAAAACTGGGTTTGTGCTTTACTTGGCAGACACTTAAAAATGTTGACTGGGCTATAGAGATTAAAAATTCACACCGTTCCGCAAACTCTTCACCACTGTTCATTATTTCTGGACCATAAATACGTTCGTGTGTTTAATTTTAATTAGAAAGTAGTGTTGAATTTAACACAAACAAAAATAAGTACGCAGGATGTTTATAGTGATGCTGATTTTACTGTTGATTCAAATAATGAAATATCACTTGTCCTTGTTCTTAATGTCTTTAAATTCTCCCAAAAACTAGCATGGAAGCATTTGCAATGGGTTGGGTTGGAGGGATTTTGATATGAAGAGGCAGTTAATAGAGAGGTAAAGTGGTTATGGATTGGTTAAAATTGAATATTCTCTTGGCGTTGTAGTGGTGGGTCCGTAATGAGTTGTTAGACATTAACTATGTTTGGTAAGTTACAGTAAGTTTGATACATATGATCTAAAGTGAGCAGTGGCAGCAGGAACAGTGGTGAAGTTAACTAGCTGAGGCTAGGAGAGAGGGTGCTACAGAAGCAAATCAATCATTGTGTTTAATATCTTATAGTAGGTTAGGTAGGAGACAGCTTTTGAATGCATACCTACCGTTTACTGTCACCAGAACAAGACAATTATGAGAAAACTGGACTATACTTGACAAACTTTCCTTCACATTCATTCATATACATGCTACAATTCAATTCATTCCTTATCCTCTTTCTTGGTCTACGCAAGCTAGATATTGTTTTTTGTATTTATGTACTGTAAAGTAATAATACCACATACTCATACATTTAACTTTTCAAATTCAAGAATGTTTTTTACCAGATATTCTTTTTTAAAATTTGAAGTATGTTGATGGAAATGTAACATATTATTGCTTGCTATTTTTCCTTTCTTAAACCAAGTTTTAAAGTACAATTTACAGTAACATATACAGATTAAACATGTGTTTTGCAGTAAACTACATTTTCTCTTAAAACAGTAGTATGAAATATAAAAAACAAGAAATATTTTCCCAAATAAAGTTCATTCGCATTTAAGCTTATAAACTTTAACCAAATAGAAGGCTTTGATTATAATGTCTTTTTAAAATAGAAGGAGAAAAATTATATATATATATATATATATATATATATATATATAATATAAATATATATATATATATAATATATTATATATATATTATATTATAATATAATGTCATTATCTGGACAAAACAAAATCCCTTGTCATCATATTTAAGTACCAAAAGCCTTTGTGGGTAAAAACACATCAGTTATACACGAATGAATTGGATATAAGATTAGTAATTTTACTGATTAATATTTGGTGTTTGTTCCAAAAATTTTACTCGTTTGTGAAAGAATCCTGCGTTATAACTTGTTGATTAACCATAAAAAAAGATTGTGGTTAGAGTCGGAAAAAGAAAAGGGTAGTAAGTGTGGAGGTAGCAATTTGTTGGACAAAACTGGAACAATGCTCGAAACATAAGTGTGGTCAACGTTTGAATTGTGAAGGGAAACAAAAGTCGAAGTTGAAGTCCTACTAAGCTAATTAAGAAAATTAGGTTCTGTTTGAAGGTTTCCCGTCTTCTAGAAAGGAAATTATGAAGTACAATTAATTGTTGGAAGATAATTTTATTATTTAGAAGGGAATTAGTGAATATTTAGTTTAATAAATAAAATGATTATGAAATAGATAGGTGGGAAAAGGTGTTTGGTGGGAAGTGGGACCCATGGCACAAAGACAGGAACAGAAGAGGAAGCGAACATCGAGCGGTTTGGGTAGGTAGATGTTGGTGACGTCAGCTACGACACCCACCCTTTTGTCTTTCATGCTTTTGCTTTATTACATATCTTCTTCACTTACTTCTAAACCAATTTCTTTATTTTCAATTTCCAGTAATTTCAACTGTCATTATTTTGGAAGATATAAATATTTATTACGAAACATAGTTTTTTTTTAAATATTTTCTGACTAATAAAAATGAAATATGAGTAAGTAATAGTTTAGTTAGTGGGTAAAGAAAGAAAAGTGCGACGTTAGCGGCACCTAACTTCTTTGTTCGTCTCACGTGAAACTCTCCAAACATTCCACGCTACCAATCTCCTCTCATGCGATTATTGCTTTTTTTTTTCTATCTCCACTTATTTACTATTATTTTGTTGATAGCTCTCTCATGTTTAGTTTAACAACATAAATAATGCTCCTTACACACACACACACACACACACATATATATATATATATATATATATATATATATATATATATATTTATATAATAACCAACTTTTGTATTCATTTATATGCAAACAACTAATTATTT